GACTTTGTGGAAGGAATTTCGGAATATTTGGGAAGCAGGCCCACAGTGCTATAAGCAGAACCTGATGGGCTCAGAAGACCAGAGTACCAATAAGTACATAAACTGATGATATGACTACTTGATGGTATGGCTAAGAGGAGTCTTTTTTGTAGGAAGAGAATAGCTGAGGCATCTGGAGAGTCCAGAGCAGAGAGAGAAAGAAATAGTCTGAACATGGTCAGGGTACTGGACCTGGTCATGAAAGAAGCAGGGGCAGAGAGGAGAAAGGGAAACAAGGTGGGGTGAGGGAGAGACAGAGGGAGAACCTGAGAGATGGGGAGGAGGAGACAGAAAGAACACATAGCTGAAATAGCAAGATTATAAGAAGAATGAGTACTTGGGGGAGGGAAGCCTGTGAACTGGGGGAGTTTGGTGAAGGAGAGGGCATGAGAAGGGTTTGGATGCTAGCTAGGATGGATTTTGAAACAGGTCCTTGTGATACTGAGGGAGCCTGGAGGCCAGCAGGCACTTTGGTATGCTAATAGACACTACAGGTAGCCATTTGTCCCTTCTGCCTTCTGGAATTTGGAGCAAATAGAGTTTCCTTTGGACTTGACAATAAGAATGTGGAGCATAAGGACAGATGTGGAACATAAGTGTTGTTCTTTTGCTGCAGCTAATGCCTAAGAAACACAAACACAAGACTCAGCGCCCACGTGGAGTTTATTGAGAGAGGGGAGAGAAAGAGGGGGTAGCTGGTGGCCAACCAAAAGCAGGGGAGAGAGAGAGAGAGCGAGCAAAGAAGCAGAGAGAGGCAGAGAGAGAGAAGCACTTGGCGCGCTTGCTTTAAAAGAGGCTTGCTTGCGCATGCGTAACTGAATCCTCTGGCCGCCAGGTAAAGCTGATGTAGGGATGACATGGCCAATAGCGTCCCGCCCATCGTTGGGGCAGGGGTCAGCTGGCTGCTAGTTCCTAACATTCCCACCTCTTATTGTTATTAAAAAGGTGGGGGTTGGGCGTGGCAGGTTAGGGAATAAGGACGTTGAGTTCCAGAGACTGCTTCCTGCTGAATTGGGGGCGTAGATAGTCTTTGGGGGATCCGAGAAAGCTGGGGTGCTGCCATGTCCTGGTAGCTGGTTGTTTCATCACCGCTCTGACAGTATGGGGCTCTGGCGTCTCTTTGAGACCTGGCAAGATGTTAGCAGAACAGAGGACAAGGTTAGGTTTTCTTTTCTTAGGTCATAGTACTTAATGGGAGAAGTGTGAGGTGGGGGAGGGGCTCCCAAGGGGGTCCCAGGACAAGGGAAGGAAGTCCCCAGGCCAGGAAAAAGGTGATTTATTTGGAGTAAATCTGGCCTGTAAATGGATCCAATTCTGCTCCCTGGACTTAAAAGAATCCTTTGAGTTTGTGAAAACATAAATATTGAGACACATTAGCAGCAAACTCATGTTAGAAATGATTTGGCTGAAAGAATTAACACATGCAGCTGGCAGATTCTTAGCACAATGAAAAGCACCTTAATTGTAAGGTCATAGTTACAGATGTGATCATATAGTGGCATAGTATGGTGTTAACACTGTTAAAACTTTATTGATTAATGTTAAGACTATAAACAGTAGCAACCTTAAAATACCCATTTTTGAAATCTGTTTTGAAACAATTGGAGCCTTGGCTGCTGCTTTAAGCTGACAAAGCTACCAGTCGTCAAAAGCATCAGAGTTCTTGAGAAGGATAAAATTTTACCTGAGTGATTAGAGAGTAACAGAGGCTTACTAGCTGGCAGCATGGACAGCCACCCCAGGTCCTATGGCCAGAACAGGTGTGGGCCATAGGACAGGTATGGAGCTTAAAGACCGGTGTGGGGCTTAAAAACAGGTGTGGAGCATTAAAAACAGGCTCATGAAGTGTCTGATAGAGATAAAGACGCTATTGAAAACTGACTAGAAGCCCTTTGTGTTAGATTCTGGCAAACTACTTGTCTGCAATTTGTCCATACCCTGAGATTTTATGTGAGATTGGATTTAAAGGTAGGAATAACCTGGCAGAAGAAACTTCTAGACAGTATAACAATCAGGTTAAGTATTGGTGGCTGCTTTTCACCAAATTTAACATGATATGTGGGAGTAAAAAGTAGAGTAGAAGGGTTTGAGAAACTTGCAATTTGAGAAGTATCTCTATAATCACAGACAAGGAGGAGGTAATTACCAAAGATAGTCATGTCATTAATGTGATGGGGCATGTCTTTAATTCTAGCATTCAGGAGGGTAAGACAGGTGGATCTCTAATAAGAGTTTGAGGCCAGCTTTGTCTACATAGAGGTCATCTCAACTGCCCTCTACCCCGCCCAAAGGAAAAGAAGGCATAATCAGGTACCTCACATCCACACAATTGAACAAATCCCGGAAAGGGCATCTCAAGAGACAACTGGTCCCTATCCATCACAGACTTAAAGATTTGATTGACAAGAGGACCCAGAGGACTCTGGGAGCTCAGAAATGCTCAGGGAATGGCTTCCTCAGGACTCAGATCCCTATATTTAGTTTTCCGTGCATTCAGAAACTTCTGCAGCTGTGGTCCAAGTGAACCCAACTACTGCTCATGCTGGAGACATTGTGTTGTTGTTCATGGCATGATGTCCTTTCAGGCACACAGAACAGATCAACTGTAGTGTCATGAAAGTTTCTGCTTAATTCTCAAAGGAGAACCTAAAGGATCAGGCAGTGTGTGGCAGGGACAGAATCCCTGCAGGCAGCTCCTGAGAAGATATAGTCTTGCAATATCTGAAGTTATGACAATGAAACCAAAGCTCAGGGAGGGCCCAGAAAGTTAGAGATGCTGGAAATGTGGCCAGCAGAGCTAGTCTGGAGCAAGGGCTATGTGGACTGCTGCTACTAGCCAGGCATAGGAAAGAGTCTGTCCAGCACTTACAGCTCATACAATGCTACTAAGCTAGCAGACAAGGAGTTACAGGATTTAATGTCTGCCCTTCTGGCCTTTGGTCTTGCTGTAGTCTTACTCCTCCTTTTCCTAATTTACATTCAGGAAGAGAAAGGTTTTCCTGTTCCGCTGCCTCTACCTCTTCCCCTTTCCCTCCTCCTCTTGCTCTTTTTGTAGTATTGATAACTAAACCCAGGGCCTTGTGTGTGCTAGACAAGAACTCTACACTGACTTATACCCCTAACCCTCTAAGAATGGTTTAGTTTGAAGCAGGGTCTCACTAACATACCAAGGGACTTGAACTTGGTCTGCCACCTAGAAGGCCTTGAACTTTGATCCTCTCTCCCTAGACTCCTAAGTAACTAGAATTTTAGGTCTTCGCCATTGTTTCTTAAAAATATGCAGGAGTAACTTGTTCTTTTTTTTTTTTTTTTTTTTTTTTTTAGGTAGTGTCACATTACATTGCCCAACCTGCCTTCAAATTGTTTTTAATAGCACATCATTTATTTATTCATTCACAATTTCACACATCTAGTCAATGCATTTTGATCATATCCAGCCCAGATTCCTCCTCCCACATGCCTCTAATATCATGTTTTCCTCTCTCCTCTCCTCTCACAGTTTGACTGATAACCTACTGACCCTAATTAGTGCTGCCTGATGAAATGGCAGCTGTTTGTACTAATTTGATCTTGTATAGGTAGCTATAGCTGCAGTGAGTTCATGCCATTTCATAGAATAGCATTTCACAGCACTGGGACCAGCTAAGAGCTGTATTAACCACTGTAGGGAGAAGCTTCTCTGTTGCCTCTAATGCTTGATCCTCTTGCCTCAGCCTCTTGAGGGCCAAGATTACGGACATGTATCACCTGACCCATTTCTTTTGATTTCCACAGAGGCTCATCTCTCAGAGTTTTCCCTGAGTCTTACAGGAGACTTAGGACTTTGACTTTTGCATTGACTATTAAAGACTTCAGTGCAAGGCATGGTTGTGCATGCCTGTAGTTCCATCACTCAGAGTACAGAGACAAGAGAACGGTAAGTTCAAGGCCAGCTCAGGCCACAATACAGGAACCAGCTGCAAAAAACAAAAGCCAAGTCAACAACAAAAGACTTGAGTGACTCTTGAAGATATTCCAAATATAGTTTTCTTTTCTTTATTTCTTTCTTGCTTTTTTTTTTTTTTTTTTTTTTCAGGGTTTCTCTGTACTGCTTTGGAGCCTGTCCTGGAACTCACTCTGTAGACCAGGCTGGCCTCAAACTCACAAAGATCTGCCTGCCTCTGCCTCCTGAGTCCTGGGACTAAAGGCATGTGCCACCAACGCCCAGCCCAAATATATTTTTCATGGTGAGGTGAGTACTCACCTTTGGGAATCAGGGACAGAGTGTTGTGATTCAGATCTTGAACATTCCTCCCCCCACCCATCCAGCAAAAATCATATGCTAATGGCTTTTTTTGTGGGGCTGTGGCAATATTGGGAAATGGCAGTCTGTAAGAGGTGGAGTCCAGTGGAAGGAATTTAGGTCATTGGGGTCACAACCTTAGAAAGGTCTCTCTCTCTCTCTCTCTCTCTCTCTCTCTCTCTCATGTGTGAGGTGAGTATGTGTCCCTTGCTGGGTGGTGGTGGCACAAGCCTTAAGTCCTAAGTCCTAGCACTCAGGAGGTAGCCAAGTGAGTTCAAGGCCAGCCTGGTCTACAGAGGGAGTGCCAGGACAGGGTCCAAAGCTACTCAGAGAAACCCTGTCTTGAAAAAGAGAGAGAGAGAGAGAGAGAGAGAGAGAATGTGTTCCTCTCCTCCCTCCCTTCTTCTTTTCCTCCTTCCTCCCTTCCTTCCTCTTCCTGAAGTGAGTTGCTCCTACCCACCATGTACCCTCTCTTACAATGTTTGGCCTCATTATAGGCCCAGAGTGATTGAATCAAATGGCTGGCCATACAGCCAAAATACCCCTTTCATCCTTTAGTTAATGATCTCAAGTATTATGTCATCGTACTGGAAAACTACCATAAGTGTGATTCAGAAGTACCTCATATTTGTCATATTTGTTAGAATGGGTCCATTTCAAAAGATAGATGCATTTATAAAATGGAGTATCTGATTTGGTGTTCCCAGGTCCCCAGCATGGAAACTGCCTACCTGAAGGAATGCTTTGGAAACAGCCTGACCCAGGCACTGGCAGAGGTGGCAAGAGTGCGGCCCAGTGACCCAATCGAGTACTTGGCTCATTTGCTTTACCATTATAGAGACGTGAAGAACGCTAAAGGAAAGGTGTGCTTGTATACTGGGCCCGCTTAGGGAGCGAGTGGCTTGCTCAGAACCGCATGAAATTCAAGGCAGAGTCCTGAGCTGGCTGGAGAGTTAATTGGCTCATCCACCTTGTGAGGACTGCTTAGTCTCAGCTATATCTGACATAGGAGGACTCTGAGGGGTAAGGAAGGAGTCTAGCTCAGAGGGTTTTAGAGTTGGATTTGCAGCTACTGGCTAGCTAACCCTTACAGCCAGAAGAGCTCAGTGGGCCTGGCAGGTGAGGGAGGAGGGTTTCTGTTTAAGACATGTAACCTGATTGACTCTATCATATTACCACAGAAAGAGCAAGAATTGCTACAGCTAAAGGAAGAGCATGACAGAAGCCTCAAGGAAGAGAAAACAACCCAAGTACTGAAACAAGAGAAAAATCAGATTCAACAGAAGTGTGAGAAGTGCCACCAGGTAGAAAGGAAAGAAGAATGGGAAACGGAGCTCAGCTGCTGTCAGGTCAGGCACGGCTCACCGAGGCTACCCTTGGCCTGCTTGTCCCTCACAGCTGCACTGCAGGCATAAGCCAGTCTCACTGACATCTTGTCCATAAAATACTTGACAGTAGAAAAATGAAATGTAAAATGGCAAATTTATTTTAGATTTCAGAAAATGTCATTAATATGATTGGCTTTAAACACTTCGGATTTTAAATAATTTCTTCTTTCAAATCCCTTGGAGCCCTTTAAAAACATTATTCCATATTTTTCAGAAACAAAATATAATTCTCAATGCATATATTAGATATAGTATTCTACTTAGCATTTTGTCTTTAGATTATAGTTATTTATGTGTCAAGCATCAGGCCTGCCCTCTATGATATAAGAGAAACATCAGTTATCAACTCCAAGCAGTTCAAAGCAACACTGTCTATCCTGGTTTGGCAAGCAAAACTTTAGTCTCTCACAGTCTTTTCTTTCTTTCTTTTTTTAATTAGTTAATTTATTTATTTATTTATTTATTTTATATAACCAAGTCCATTTAAATGAAAACAAACATTTATAGACAATCTTTGGGAATTTGGGCGTCATTCTTTCCAAACTACTTCCTGCTGGTAAGGGGCACTGTCATGGGGGATTCTAAGAAGATGCAGAAATCCTGGCTGTAGTCTGGAAGGCTGCTTTGTCCAGCTGTTTTGAATGTAGGATCAGCTTGTACTCTCAGGCAGTCTGGCTTGATCAAACCACATTAGTCTGGAAGGAATCCACAGCTTTTCATTTTCTGTGGAAACAAAAATAGAAATCCTTTTCCCCAGTAACTTGTCCTTGAACTTAAATTTTGGAGTCAAAGCATTTTTTTTTAATTTAATTTATTATTTTACATGTCGATCCCAGTTCCCTCTCCCTCCCTCCATCCATCCTTCCCTCCCTCCCTTTTACCCTCTCTGCCCTCTCACATGCACCCTAACCACCCTCCCCTCCCATCCCCCCACCCCAATTCCATATGTAGGGGAATGCCATTCAGTTGGGGTCATGTAGACCTGACAGGTCATGTGAAGTAGAGACTAGGGCTTCTCTCCTGTCTCTAGATTAAGGCAGTTATCCCTCCATGGGGGATGTGTTCGCAAGGTCCTTTTGTGCACCAGGGATACATCCTGGCTCCACTGTCTGAGGTCCCTTAGACTTCTCAGTCCTTCTGGCTGAGACCCATATTCAGGGGGTCCTGAGTCAGTCCCATGCTGGCTTCCCAGCTATCAGTCTGGTGGTCCGTTAGCTCCTCCTTGTTCAGGTAAACTGTTTCTATGAGTTTCTGCCACCTGGTCTTGTCCTCTCCATCTGCATCTGGGTTCTACTTCAACTCAGTGTTTATGTATGGGTGTTTGCTCCTGTTTCCAACAGGCATTAGTTGAGGGCTCCATGGATAAGTTAGTTGTTGATCTCACTCTCCAGGAAGGGCATTTATGGTAGCCTTTACACGGAAGCTCAAATTGTTAGTTGGCAGCAGTCTTGTAGTTCTCCAGACCTTTCTTTGTGTTCAATTTTATCTTCAAACCAATATTGGCTCCCTCTCTCTCTCTCTCTCTCTCTCTCTCTCTCTCTCTCTCTCTCTCTCTCTCTCTCTCTCCTGTCATCTATTCCTAACCAGGCTAAATCTTCCTGGTCACACATTTTCCTTTCCTCCCCCTTGTTTTCTCCTACTTCTCTCTCCATTTGCTGCCCCTCCACTTCCCCTGTGCTCTGGGGGACTTGTTCCTTCCCGGTTCTGTGAGGGACTATATATGAATCTCTTAGAATACACCTTGTATCCTAGTTCCTCTTTTGGTGTGAATTATAGGCTGGTGATCCTTTGATCTAGGTCTAAAATCCATATATGAGTGAGTACATACTATGTTCCTCTTTTTGTGACTGGGTTACCTCATTCAGGATGGTTTCTTCAAGTGCCATCCACTTGCCTGCGAATTTCAAGATACCATTATTTTTTTTTTTCTGCAGAGTAGTATTCCATTGTGTAGATGTGCCACATCTTCATTATCCATTCTTCAATTGAGGGACATCTAGGTTGCTTCCAGGTTCTTGCTATTACAAATAGTGCTGCTATGAATATAGTTGAACAGATGTCTTTGTTGCATGAATGTCTCACAGTCTTTTCTACAACTCCTAAAAATCGGGTCTTTCTATACAGCACCTGGTTAGAGAACTCTCTCAGCTGTAATATTGGGATTGACACCAGAAATCATCTTAATCATCAATATGTACTTAGACATCATCATTTTTGTCCTCAGTGATGTCCAGCTTTGCTATCCCAAAGCCAACTTGGAAAACACTGTGCCTGTTTACATTTGATGCTAAGATACTCAGCAATAATACTCTTACAACCAGTAGGCTTATTTGTAAGGCTGAATGTCTTGTCAATAAATTAAAAGGAAGACACACCAGATTTAGAAGCCTGGGTCACATGGTAAGTTCAAAGCCAGCCTGGGCAAATAAAAAATCTTAAAGGGCTGAGACCATAACACTTAGTGTTAGAGAGTCAGTTAGTATGTACATGCTAGGTTCAATCCTCTAGAGTGGAGAGAGACAGAGAGACAGAGACAGAGAAAGATTTACTACATAGCCCAGGAACTTACTGAGATCTTCTTGCCTCAGCCTCCCAAGTACTAAGAATTAGAATAACAAGCTACCACACCCTTCAGGAAGTTAGTTTGATAGTACTTTTTGATAATCCCATGAGGCCAATCTATGCACTCCAAGGTAACTATGAATACAAGTGAATGTATTTCAATATAATTTTGTGTAACCCCATTGGGTAGATCTGAAACTTGAATTTTGCAATTGGCTACATTTTGCAATATTAAAGGTTGGACATTCATGAAAGAGAACTCTTCCTCCAGGGTTTGAACAACTGAGATGGAAAAGATGAGGTACATTAAGCAAAGTCCTTATTACTTGTCCATGTTAATCATTTCCCAATACTATTTGTGAATAGAAAGAGATATGGAAGGTAAGACATGACTCCCCACACCACTGTGTTTTATGCTGCATTATAGTAGAAAGCTTTGCTTACACTAATAGTGTGAATTGGCCCTTTGTGTTTCACTCACAAGGTTTTTGCACTCTGTGGCTTTAGATAGATCAAAGTATCCCATTATTTCCCCAAGTGTGAAAGGACACCCTTGTAAGGGATGGAGGGAAAGGAAAGCCGGTGATGCCCTGACTACACAAGCTCTTTCTTTGGAAAGTGTTTATAAGCAAGTTGTAGTCACAAACATTGATTCCCTTTGTTAGAAAGAATGAGGACAACCTGAGACTGAACCAAACTGAATGGATCACTTACCTGTCCTCTTGACTCAGGCATCAGTCCAAATCAAATTTGAAGAGATTAGGCAAAGAGGTAGAAAGGCAGCAAATAAGACAATTTACAAGTTCTGGCTCCTGGATGACTTAGTGTGGATTTCTGATAACTTTGTGTCACTAGTAGAGGGAAACTTGCCCTCAAATAGGCCTGGAATAAGTTTGGTACTATTTCAGCTGGCCTGTGGTTTATTGGATACCTTACATGCACTTTCTTGCAAGATTTTCCTTCATATCTTTTGTTTTGCTTTTGTTTGGTTTCCATTATTTGTTTTGGGTTGGGGGGAGGGTGTTTGTGCTTGTTTGTTTTGTTTTTGGAATGTTTTACAGATAGTTTTGAGCCACCATGTGGTTGCTGGGAATTGAACTCAGGACCTCTGGAAGAGCAGAGCCGTCTTAACCACTGAGCCATCTCTCCAGCCCCTGTTTTTGGAAGTTTTGAGACAGGGCCCTGTTGTTTAGCCCTGGCTAGCTCAGAACTCTCCAGGATGGCCCTAAGCTCATAAAAATCCTCCAGCCTTGCCTCTTTAGTGCTGGACGGTCAGGCATGAAACACGGTGTCCAGCTGTCTCTCTTAAAACTCTCTGTGTGTGGATCTGAGACTTTGAGTTCCCCTTATAGGATGGTGCTGGAAGAAGTAAATGTGTCCAAAGAGGAACAGAAACTGGGTGCCAAATGTGATAGGAATCATATCCAAATTGGAATCAAGGAGAACATCATAGAGGTGGTAGCTCATGAGTTCAGCCTAGGAGGGAGTTTATAAACATGGTCATCAGTTGGTTTTCATTTATTGAGCAGAGGGACTCTAAGACGGCACCCCCTAAGACACAAAGCATGTCTAATATTTGTAAAGATGTGTACCACACAAATGTCTTAGGAAACATTTTTTGGACTCAACACAAGTGTTTATTGCATAGACTCAGCACTCTGAAGTTAGAAAGGTCTCAGAGATCATGTGGGGAGATGCTTCACAGGGCTCTCTGCTATGACCTACAGGGTCTGCACTGTAGATTGGACTTCTGGAGCTTCTGTGCAGTAGCCCATCAAGCTTCAGTTCCAAGGGTTCTTACCTCAGCCAGGGACTGCAGTCACATGGACGTTAGACTCTTGGACATTATCCCGTACATCCATCACAGGGGCTTTGGTTTCCTTGGGTTTTGCAGGTGTTGTATTTGTGTACTTTCATGTTTTTGTGTGTATGTGCAATATGTTGGTGTGTGGTATGTGTTTGTACACATGAGTGTGGAAATCTGAAGCTGATGTCAGTCTTCCTCAGTTGCTCTTCACCTTAGTCATCAAGGCAGGAATGCCCAGGTGAACTCAGAGCTTGCTGACATGGCTAGTCTAACTAGTTAGCTTGTTCTTGGCACTGGTGCTTTTCCCACCAAACCAGCTCCCCCACCTTCCCATTACTTTTTTCTAGGCATGCCATGCCCAGAAGACAGTGTTCTACAATGTTCCGCCCCTTCTTTCTGATCTTACGTTCTTTCTACCCAGTTTGCTGCCTTGGCGAAAGTGATACAGGTGTACCTTTTAAGTTTGAGCATTAAACAATCAAGTCACTTATTCTTGGCAGCTTTTGTCTCAGCCTCAGCTTGGATCATTTCTATAGATCTGCTGTCACATTTAAGCCTTTCTTCTGCCATAGTCAGAATCCTAGTTAGGAATTTCCATTATTATTTTATTTGTCTTTTTTTTTAATATAAGTATCTATGTATGTGTGCATACATGCGGATGTCAGGGGTCAGTCTGGGGTCAGGCTCTGGTGTCATCCATCTTGTCTTTTGGGTTTTTTTAAGGTTTATTTATATTTACTTTATATATAAAAATGTATACATGTGTATAAGTGTGCCATGTGCATACAGGACAAATAGAGGCCATAAGAGGTCATTGGATCCCCTGGAATTAAAGTTACAGATAGTTCTGAATGTCCATGTGGTGCTGGGAACCAAACCTAGGTCCCCTGCAAGAGCAGCAAGTTCTCTTAACTACTGAATCATCTTTCTAGCCCCCATCTTGTTTTTTGAGTCAGGGCCTCTCACTGCCCTAAAGCTTAATTATTGTATTGGGCTAAGCTGACTGGCCAGTGAGCCCCAGGGATTTGCCTATGTTGGTTTCCCCAGAACTAGGATTACAAGCACAGGCCACCATGCCTCTTTTTGTTTTGTTTTTTATTGATTATTTCATTTGGGGGGATCAAAGAGGTCCTCCTGCTTTCACAGAAGGCTCTCTATAGGTTGAGTCATCTACCAACCCCTCTATGATTTTTTTTTTTTTTAGTGCAGATATACTTTTTGTCTCTTGGGTTTCTCTGTTTCCATCTTCTTGACTACCTACCTTAATTTCTACTTATTATGACCATGTTTCTCCTTTACAGTTTTGAAAATATTAAGTGACTCTTTTAAGTCCCTGTCTGCTACTCCCATCATCTGTGACATTCTGAAGTTAACAGCTCATGTTTTCCTCCTTCATCTATCTGGTAATTTCTACATGTGTGCTGAACATTGCCGTTGATCTTTTGTAGAGTCTAGAGTGCACTGTATGAGGTTTTATCCCTGCAGGCTGCATGGTCCCTGGTGCACCACTCTGATCCCAGCAGGATTGATATCACATTTCTTTGCAGTAGACTGATTTCAGCTTTGTTCTTTGTTGGTGTCCGGCAAAAAAAAAAAAAAAAAAAAAAAAAAAAAAACAGCAGTTGTGTGTGTGTTCTTGCTATTCCCATGTTTAATCTCTAGAAACATTTTCTCTCCTTCATGTTTTCTCTTTAGGAACTGCACCCAAAAGCTGTTTCCTCAAGCAAGACACCATCCCTACAGGAAGACACAACACCCCTTGAGGAGACACTCAGCCAGGTGTCTCCAGGGTGGTTGCAGAAATGCATCAACAGGTTTTTACCTCTTAAGAAAATGACCTGCAAAGGGAGCTTTCACCTCAGCTATGATTGTAGAGTCTGAGGAGGCAAGCAGGCATGCACAGATAGATGCTCTGGTCTACTAACCATGAATACCTTTAATCATGTGAAGTTTTAGCTGTTGGACAAAAATGGATTCAAACAAGAATTAAATACAGTAAGTCATCAAACTGACCAGATCTTTTCCTCCTACATTATAGGGTCAAAACATGCCCCTCCCCAGTATTCTTCTTAACTTTGTCTGTGCTTTGCAGGCAGGGCTCTGGGAATCCTTACAGGTGTCATAGAGGCTGCCCACAGCTCTAGTGACAGGTGTTTCTCTTCACTGTATGTCACCAGTTTAAAAATGTTTCCTTTTTTATTGTGATAAAGCACATGCATAAAATTTATATAGTTTGGTGACCTTAACACATTCATATTGTACAACTATCTCTAACAACCAGCTCCCAAACTCTTCCTTCACCTTGTAGGTCTGAAGCTTCGTCCCATTAAATAATAACCCTATTTTTTCCCCTATGCCAAGCCCTGGAGACCACCATTCTACTTTGTCTGGGTTGTTTTGACTATTGCAAGTACCTCATATAACTGGAATCATATAGCAATAGGTGAGGGGCACTGTAGTCATCCTCAGTGTTCTAGTGGCTAGGATTTAGTACTGTTATTGGGCATACTATATCCTCAGGGTTCACTCACCCTGTAACAGGGATCAGAATTTCCTTCCTTCTGAAAGTTGATCAATATTCTATCTTAATATGGAATGCATAGACTGTAAGCATTTCTGCATTTAATCATGCATTGTGGCAGCTTGTGCATATGAGAAACATTTAAGAAGGAAACGTAAGGGAATTCATTTGCTGATAGGAGAAGAGACTGGGGATATGGGTCATCCAAGACTGTTGCTAGGTTCTTTGTTTGGGTCCCTTGGATGAATGGAGGTGGTTTTTCCTTCAGCATAGGACAGAAGAAAAGTGTGCCATGCTAAATATGTGGTGCCTGTGAAAAGGACAGGCATGGAAACACCACAAAAGAGAGCAGCCCTGAAATACTGTCCCTACCCCAACCCCAACAAAAGCCAAAGATCCCAGAACATCTCTGACTTCTTACTGTCCAGCTGAAGGGGCCTCAAGATTCTCTCTCTCTCTCTCTCTCTCTCTCTCTCTCTCTCTCTCTCTCTCTCTCTCTCTCCCTCCCTCCCTCCCTCCCTCTCTCTCCCTCTCCCCCTCTCAATTTTATCTATATAATATAAACATAAATATATGTATGTATTTAGTGCTTTTGTGTATGTGTGTGAATACATGTGACACAGCACATGTGGGAGTCAGAGGACAATTTTGAGGGGTCATCTGTCCCCTTTTACCTTGTGGGTTCTTCAGATGGAACCTAGGTCCTTAGGTTGTCTTGGGAAGCAGTTTTACCCTACTAAGCCATCTCATGGATCCATTCTTACATATGTTTAAACCTATATGAAAATGTCTGCTAAATATTACTTGTAATTGTATAATGGAATTTTGATCAAAGTGCAGCATATTTTTGCAAATAATTACAAACCATATATATATTTTATTTCAAAGTAATCATTTCCATTGACCACTGTTTTCTATGGCCCTTACCCTTGCAAATGATAAAGTACTGTGAGGTTATCCTAGAAAAACATTAAATTTTGTGTTTTAGTTTTACTGTGAATGTAAATTAAAACAAAAGAAAACAAAATGGTACTTCTTGGTGGTAGTGCAAAGCTAACTTTAAGTTAGAATGCTGTTATGGATATTCCTCAAAAAGATTTCCAAGCCTTGTCTTCTGTGCTTGATAGCCCTATGTCAACTTCACACAAGCTAGAGTTATTTGAAAGGAAGGGACTTCAATTGACAAAATCCCTCCTTAATATCCAGCTGTAGGGTAATTTCTTAATTAGTGATTGATGGGGAGTGCCCAGCCCATTATGGATGGTGCCATCCCTGGACTTGTCATTCTGGGTTCTATAAGAAAGAAGATGAACCAAGCCATGAGGAACATCTTCCTTCCATGGCCTCTGCATCAGCTCCTGCCTCCATTTTCTGCACTGCTTGAGATTCTGTCCTGACTTCCTTCAGTGATATAGAAGTATAAGCTAAGCTGGGTGGTGTCTCAGAGAAGGAGGAGGAGGAGGAGGAGGAGGAGGAGGAGGAGGAGGAGGAGGAGGAGGAAGAAGAAGAAGAAGAAGAAGAAGAAGAAGAAGAAGAAGAAGAAGAAGAAGAAGAAGAAGAAGAAGAAACAAAATACATATATCCCTCCCTGGCTTGCTGCTTTGGTCATGCTGTTTCATCAGAACAATAGAAACCCTAACTAAAATATTGTCCATTAGACAGCAAGCTCCCTATAGTATATCCAACCTCTAGAGATAAGACCAGAGACACATCAGACTATCCAAGATTTAGAACAGGTCTTCCATCTTAATATTGAATACCAGGTATATTTACTTTCACGACTAACAAATACTACCACCTAACCACTTAGAACTACACCCGTTGGAGTTTTTTATGACAGAGGACCAAGCAGCTTATGGAATCTTGAGGTAGAACCATAGTATTGTCCATGGCAACCATCTTATCAGAGATTTGAGGTTCCCCTTTTCACACCTATGGGAATATCTCTTGCTGGCAGCTTCTGGGGTCTGTTTGTCACTCCCTATGCTGAGTTCTTTCCAGAGCATGCTGTTTGATCCTTTATGGCCAGAGGAAAATCTCTTTTATTCCCTTTAAGGATTCATCTGATTAGATTAGATTCACCCATAATAGTTCCTACATTTAAATTTTTCTTTTTCAATTTTTTTTCTTTGTGAGATAGAATCTGACATATCCCAGGATAGACTTGAACTCAATGTGTAAAGAGAACAATCTTAAAATTTTTATGCTCTTGCTGCCACCTCCTGAATAATTTAATTACAGACATTTACCATCATAACCAGCTTTTTTAGTGTTGAGGAATCAAGCCTAGAACTTCATGCTCACTAAACAAACACTCTACCAACTGAGATACATTCAGAGACCAGCAATTTCACTTTTTTAATTAACTCAAAGTAAATTGATTTTAGCTTAGTTATGGTCATGATATCCCATGCTGTTCACCAGCTCTACACACACACACACACACACACACACACACACACACACACACACATACACACACACTAAATACAGACATACATCATCAAGAAGTAAGTATTCCAAGGCCATCTCAGAGTCATGCACTAAACAATAAGCTTTTCAAAAAGCAAAGGGCTGTGGGTATCCATGTAAAATAGTACATGAGGAATTTAGTGACCAGAGTCAATGAGGCTCTTGCACCAGAGGAGTCTTCACTGAGCAGTGATGATCAAAGAACCAGTAGGCTGAAGTATGAATGGATGAAGAAGGGAAATTGGACTAGCAGAGTACCCTGGGGAAATTGACCACAATCAAAGAGCAAATAGATATATACAATTTCCTGAGTGCCCAAGCCACACAAAGACACAACTAAGAAAGAGAACTACAGACCAATATCCCTAATGGACATTAATGCCAAAATATTCAATAAAATACTGACAAATCAAATCCAAGAACATATCAAGGAATCATCCACCATGACCAAGAAGGCTTCTTCCCAGGAATGCAGGAATGGTTCAACATATGAAAATCCATCCGTGTAATCCACCATATAAACAAACTGAAAAAGAAAAACTACATGATGCTGGAAGAAGCCTTTTACAAAATCCAAAACCCCTTCGTGATTAAGGTATTAGAGAGATCAGGGATAACAGGAACATGCCTAAACATAATAAAAGCAATATACAGCAAACCAATAGCCAACATCAAACTGAATGGAGAGAAGCTTAAGGAGATTCCTCTAAAATCAGGAACAAGACAAGGCTGCCCACTCTCTCCATATCTCTTCAATATTGTATTGAAGTACTAACTAGAGCAATAAGACAAAAGGAGATCAGGGGGATACAAATTGGAAAGAAAGAAGTCAAAATTTCACTGTTGCAGATAATATCATTGTTTACATAAGTGACCCAAAAAACTCTACAAGAGAACTCCTTCAGCTGATAAACACCTTCAGCAAAGTGGCAGGATACAAGATTAACTCAAAAAAATCATTAGCCCTACTATATACAGACAATAAAGGGGCTGAGAAAAATATCAGACAAACATCACCTTTTATAATAGCCACAAGAAACATAAAATATCTTGGGGTAATGCTAACCAAGCAAGTGAAAGATCTATATTGTAAGGATTCAAGCATTACGCTGGCCTGCCCCTGTCACCTGGCAGAATGCACTCAGGCAATACTCTGGTCAGCCCATGAGTACTAGTCTGCAGGCAGGTATAAAGGGCCCCTTTAAAAGTCAGACCCTGCCCATTTATGTTCTCTTCCTCTTCCTTTCTCTCTCTCTCTTTCCTCTCTCTCTCTCTCTCTCTCTCTCTCTCTCTTCTTCTGTTCCTAGTGCTTCTATGTCTCTTCCCTCCCTCACTCCACTTTCTACATAAACTCCTTAATTAAGCTCCATCTGCCTGCCTGACCTGTTATTCTCTCCACCTCGGTCACCTTCACCTGCTATGGAACCTGCTATGCTCTCCCACATGGTCCCTTATCTTGGGACCCCACTCACTTGGGACCCTCACTCAGGACTGACCCCTCACCCCTTCTCCATCTTCTATTCTTATAATTAACAAAAGAACAAAATATATAAGCACTTTGAGTCTTTAAAGAAAGAAATTAAAGATACCAAAAGTTGGAGAGATCTCTCATGCTCTTGGATAGGTAAGATCAACATAGGAAAACTGGCAATCTTGCCAAAAGCAATATACAGATTCAATGAATCCCCATCATAATCCCAGTACAATTCTTCACAGTCCTTGAAAGGACAATACTCAAATTTACATAGAAAAACCAAAGACCCAGGATAGCCAAAACAACCCCATACAATAAAGGAACTTCCAGAGGCATCACTATCCCTGACTTCAAGATATATTATAGAGCTATAGTCCTGAAAACACCTTGGTATTGGCACAAAAAAATAGACAGGTAGACCAATGGAATCAAATTGAAAACCCTAATATTAATCCACAAACCTATGAACACCTGGTTTTTGGCAAAGAAGCTAAAATT